GGCGAACCGGTGAGAAGGATAGCAACACTAAAGCCTGTTGCGACAAATATGACGCCCTCTGGGAAGCTCATTCTGGACTTTGGTCAGAACCTCGTCGGTTATGTCAGGCTGTCGAATATCAACGGGCCAGTTGGACACAAGATCACCCTCTCGCACGCCGAGGTCCTCGAACACGACGAACTGTGCACCAGACCCCTCCGAATCTGCAAAGCGACGGACGAATACATCCTCAAAGGGGAGGGAATCGAATCATACAATCCCAGATTCACCTTCCACGGCTTCCGATACGCACAAATCGACGGCTGGACGGGCGGTGATCTTAGGGAATGCGCCGAAGCAATTGTCTGCCACACGGATATCACGCCCATTGGAGGATTCTCCTCTTCACACGCACTACTCAACAAGCTATACCAGAATATATGCTGGGGCATGCGCGGCAACTTTCTCTCAGTCCCAACCGACTGCCCGCAGCGAGACGAACGGCTCGGCTGGTCGGGCGACCTGGCATTATTCGCACCGACGGCAGTGCTCATCTACGACTGCTTCACCTTCTTGAAGAACTGGCTGATTGACGTCGAGTACGACCAGATGGTCCTCGGTGGTGTGCCGGCCATGGTAACGCCGAATAATACCATTCCGGATCCTGTCTGGTGTCGACGCGTGCCATGTGCGATTTGGCATGATGTGACTGTTCTGGCGCCCTGGGCATTGTATGAGGAGACTGCGGATACAAGTATCCTTGCGCAGCAGTATAATAGTATGGTCACCTGGATGCGAATGGTTCCTCTTCAGACTTCGGGAGCGACTCATCTCTGGGATCCGGCTATATTCAACCTGGGAGTAAGTTCACCCACCCCTCCTTTGACGGATAAGTGCTAAGAATGTAGGACTGGCTTGACCCTGCAGCCCCACCGAATGCACCCTGGAAGGGAGCGACAGACGCGAAAATGGTGGCCAATGCGTTCCTGATCCACAGCCTGGACCTTATGTCGGAGATATCTCGAATCCTGAATCAACAAGGTGACCATGCACATTTCACGGCCTGGTCAAAAGCAGCAAGACAGGAATTCCAGGACGAATACATCACAAAGACCGGACGACTGGTCTCTGACTCGCAAACCGCCTACGCACTAGCAATCTGCTTCGACCTGTTGACCAACTCTCAGCGGGAGCACGCAGGTTCAAGGCTCGTCTACCTCGTCCGAAAAAACGAGTTCAAAATAGGAACAGGTTTCGCCGGAACGCCCTTTATATGCGAAGCCCTGGCCAAAGCCGGCCATATCCAAGTGGCGTACGCGATGCTACTCGAAGAATCGTGCCCCTCATGGCTGTATCCAGTAACAATGGGCGCTACAACCGTCTGGGAGAGATGGGATTCTATGCTCCCCGACGGATCAGTGAATCCGGGGGAGATGACCTCGTTCAACCACTACGCTTTCGGGGCGATTGCGAAATTCATGTATGAGCGTGTGGCGGGGTTACAGAGGGTTGAAGCTGGGTGGAGGAAGTTCCGCGTTGCACCGTCTATCGGGGCGGAATTTAGCCATGCAGCTGCTGAGCATGAGACGGCCTTTGGACGGACATCAGCTCGGTGGGAGACGACAAGACAAAACGGTGATCTTGAGAAGATGGTGGTGTGGGTGTCTGTCCCGTATAGTACCACATGCGAGGTTGTCATTCCAACTACATCCGGGGAGAGGAGGGAAGTTGTTGGGTGTGGAGAGTGGACGTTTGAGAGCGAGTTTAGGAGAGATTACGAGTGGCCGGTCAAGGCTTTGCCGCCAAAGTCGTAGGGAAGAGGCCGATAGGAGGATCTAGATGGATGGATCGACGTGCAAGCCATGGAAAGATGCAGCAGAAAGCTAGACATTAGGGGTACGCACGTGCTTGTGACATCAAAGGCGCAGACAAACTGCCCAGCTATGTATTCGTCCTACTCCTTCGTGTTGAGGTTGACTATAGTCACGCCGTCTGGGCCATGCTCAAGTAGATAGCGCGTGGTCGATTTACTACCAGCGGGGTTAGCATACTGCACAAAATCATGATTAGGGCAATGGATTGTCTCACCTCCATTTAACGTTCCCAACGATCATAAACTTGCAGGACAGGATGAATGTCTTGACATCCTCCTGAGTCTGCGGTGGAAGCTTCAGATACTCCTCACTGTTGAGGATCTGCGACTCGGATGCGATGAAACGGTCTCGGGACTCGACGAGCTCTTGGATCGTTTCCTCTAGGCCGCGTTGAAAGTTGCGGTGGTCGCCGTGGGCGACTTTGAGGAAGAGGGCATTGTCAATCTGGCCCACGAGCTTTACGAGGCATCAGGTTAGTACAGCATGATGACCAATAGGGTTCGCCCACTCACAGCCTCCTTTTTAAACGAGAAAATATCATTTGCACTGCAGATGTAAGCCAGGGCTCGGCAAAGGCGAGGACATCCAACATACATGACCACGGAAATCACAGTCTCGCGGAAGATAGACTGCATTGCCTCGCTCTCAATAACCCACGCCGGGACTTTCAGATCGTAAGCATATCTGAGGTGAGTGACGTTAGCTTCTGATTCCAAGGCGGGCGCAATGGGGATGGGAAACATACTCTATAGCCAGGACACAGGGGAACATTGCAATATTGTGCAGGCGGTTGTCAAGATACTCGTCCCAGGTGGGCAGGCTGGTCATGCGCGATTTCTGAACCTCCCCGACAGCCTCGACGTATTGATATAGTGCATCCGCAAAGCGACGCATAGACACTGTGAAGGAAATGTTAGCGGTTGCGGGCGAGAGGAATGAAGTGGCATGACGATACCCACCGTGCGAGAGGCTGCTCTGCATGACACTCAAGATGTCTTGCATGCAGCCGGAATTGTGCTGGCCATCCGGAGGCGCTTCGAGATCGGATCTGGGCACCTCGAGGCACCACTTCAGAAAGGCCATTGTGTCCCTTCGACATATCTCGGCTTGTTCGGTATTGGTTTGCAAATCTCCGCTGTCGAATTCTGGGTCTCGTCAGCATATACGTCTGGGGTTTGCTGCGATGCTCGTACCATCGTCCCACATGAACAACTGTCACACTGGAATCAGCGAGGCGCCCCAAGCATACACAGGTCACACAACGTACCCAAATCATAAATTGTGCAACTATGCGAAACCGCTCAAGGGATGTTTGACTCCAGAAATAGCCTGCTTCTTGTACCAGTTCTCCTTTCTTTGCCGCCGTCTTTAGTGTCTCGTTGTGTGGCCACCATCTACGATCCATGTCAGATCTGCAACCCCTGGAGCATGCACCATTGACCATACTTCTCCAAAAAGTCATTGTGAATCTCGTTCTTGACTTGTTCCTCGTGTTCGTGCCGTTCAACGTCCCAGTCCGGGTAGAGTAGTGTACAGAGATCCGGAATGTACGCGGTCTGGCCCATGACCGCACGGAGGGTAGTGACGGCCTCCTCTGGGATGGGAATCATGTTGCGGAGGGAAAATTGATTGCGATGAGAGTCAAATGTCTTCAATTCGAGGTCGCGATGTGGTTTGCAATCCGGGGATGGGGATGGTCAATCCTTTTTATTTTTTGGCCGTAGACATTCACCTAGTGCCCCAGGGAATGTGCTAGCCGCATCACTAGTCCTTCTCCCGTCAGCGTCACCGATAGTATTCACCCCGGAGTGCCAGACAGCCGGGTTCCCTGCGTGTCTTTGCGGTTTCGACTCTGCGGGTGACAAGAGAAAAGCCGGAGCGGCCCGTGAGTTGCCCCAGCGTGAACTTTGAAGGGAAGGAAGGAACGATTGCCCATCCTGGCGACCCTCATGTTCCCTTTCGTCTCCTGCGGGGATCCACTGTGCCTTGGGACGCGGGAGATTGTTGCAATGAGATGGCGGGATGGCCAGTGACAATCGCACCTGGTTGAGCTAGTCCGAAAACCGGTTTCCAGGATACGCGCCATGTGGGGTACCGGGATTTGCCCATGAGACGTTGGAATTTGGCTCCCGGAGACTTGGGATTCTTTTTATTCGAGGGCCAGTTGCTGTTGTCCATTCACTCAAGCATTCTGCAGCTGCATTTCCAGTGCGCAGTTGGAAATGGCCGAGACGCACCCCAGCGGCTCGTGCGCAAGTTCACAGGGCTTCACCTCGAAAGGGAAAACCGGGAACCTGGAGTGGAGAATCAGACGGGGTAATTGCAACTGCAACGGTCGACAAAACAGGCAGTCGGTGGCGGCCGCGAGTCAGTAGGCCATCCTTCGCCGTTGGGACTAGCCATTTATGCCTCCGTATCATGCAATCGCCTCGTAAATATTCCGAGCGAATCCGAGTCTCGCCCGCGGGCCGAAACTCTGCGCGGCTTCACACCCGTGGGGAAATCTTGTGTCTGGCTGTCATTCACCCCGTATTTGATGAGCCTTCACTCGCCCCCATTTACCTCCTCGAAGCACAATAATTCACCAAGAATCAGGCCTTCAAAATCTCCGCCTCCGACGCATCTACACCGCTCCGGGACTCGGCCGCTCCCCGGCCGCATAAGGCTGGGCGCACATTCCAAGGAAGCGGATCCCTGCTTATCATCATCCCTTGGCTGTCTCGGCCTGCTCCGCGTGCGCCGCCAACCAAGCTCTCTGTGTGACATGCTTCGTATGCGCCATGCCGCCGGTAGCGCTGCACACCTTGTACTCCGTATTACTCCCGAAACCCGGATTTACATCCCGTGCGGGGCCTGGAGGTGATGGTTGTCAGTACGTCGTATCAGTTCATCCCGGTGGAAAGGATGAATCTTGCATCGCTTGTCCTTTTGCTACTTTGACCCATGTCGCGGCTCGAATATATTGACTCGCTTACACAGCCATCCCCGAGTTGTTGACACCGTCTGTTCCTGAGGGGTGCCTGAGCCCTGTTGTTCTCACCTCTTCTCCGTCCAGAGTAGACCTACTCTGTCCAGCCCGGGGATGCCTCGTCGTAGTTGTTCCCTTGCCATTTGCAATGGGTTGCTGCACCTCTGCGTACTTCTACACCCAAAGAGCGATGCAGCCAGTTGGCATAATCTGGCTTCCCAGATATTCGATACGCACCCTCTCGAGCCGGCCGAGGCCTGTAGCGTGTCCCTCTGCTGCGGCGCTGGCAATGCCTCGATTCGGCTAATAGTGACGCCGTACTGGCTGACCACCTGCCCCGCCCGCTGTTGAAAACGGCTTGTTGCAGGCTCCCTATGTGCCGCGTATGCATGAAGTAGATCCTCAGGTCCCGCGCATTCTATTAGGAGCCACCACTTGAGTGCCAGCCATGATGTGCTTCCTTGAGTCACACCCAACATTTGGTCGTCGCCCAGTATATTTCTATCAATGGTTGCCGACCCGCCTTGTCTTGATGTGCGCACGCCATACCTAATGGGTGCCATGGCAGCTTTCTCTTCCGCCCAATTGGAAATCCAAACACATACTGACATATTTATCCTTTATGCTATAGCCGCTGTTGGGAATGTACCAAATTTCGGATCTTTTGCAAACCCTAATTGGTGGGACCTTGTACATCGGCATAGCCATGGAATTAAGGCAGATAATGCATCGACAGAACTACGAAGCAAATAATTGCTTGGCTTAGTGATTCCTTATTCGTATTCCGCTGATTGCGAGGTAGTTGGAGACCAACTCTGTATATCGAGCGGTCGTGTCTCCTGAAGAGCAATTGACCGTTAGAGCGCATCGAAGAGACGGAGCTGGGGAGGGGGTTGGAAGCACATTTCCGGCACATATGGACATGTCCCGCTCAGCATTCCAGCGCGGCCAGGAGCAAAGGCCTGAGAGAGTCACTCGAATGTATAAATGCCCATCAAAACCCGGCCGTCTCTCGAATGACTCGACATAAAGCTCATCTCTACAGGCTTTCTATCCAAGACCGTCGTTCAAACCTCCAACCTGACGATCGAAACCCATCCTCATCACTCGAAAAGTTATATAAACCAACCCGGAAGCCAGAAGAGCCGCATACAATATTTCCAACGATCTCCGCCTGATGCCGCGCAGCATCGGCGCGGGGGGTCACCACGAGAAATGCGAAGAGACCGTGTTCGTACCCTGCCAAGGTGACCCTAGTTGATCGCACCTTCCTATCTCATACATCGCGCTTTCTTCGCTTCTCTGCTTGTCCTCAACACGACGCGAAGGAGCGACTCAGTCGTCTGGTAGCCTAAGCAACGAAGCACGCATGCAAGGCAAGGTACGACCTGCTCGCGGTTTCCGGATTTGCAAATACTCAGCCAAGGGATTCTGATTGAGAAGAGGGATCATCCAGTATATTAAGACCGAGTATAGACTCGACAACTTTTCCAGCATGCATGAACGATTACTCAATCAAACCCTCGCTACCTCAAACTGAACGTCATCCCCATCGACTCCCTCGGCCGCTCCCTCGCCTTGTCAAGCGTCATCTGCGTCGTCGCAGCGCAAAGCTTCCCTGTAAGCTCCTCGCGATCGGGCATCCCCTTCCCACTCGACGCCACCCGAGCCTCGTAATCACCATTGACAGGCGCCATTCCTCCTTGTGTTGCCTCCGTCTTCTCGAGCAACGTTTCCCGACTCGTGCAGCTTGCCACCGCATTCGCGACTTTCTCGTGCCATGACTTTTCCTCCTTTTCGGCCGCGATGACGGCGAAGTGGGCGCGGCGGTAGACGCCGATTCCGCTGATTACGCCGCTGACGATCTCGTAGGCGAAGAGGACGGGAAGCGCGTAGTTGAGCTGTGGGTTGCATCCTCCGGACCAGATGTGTATTAGGACATTGTAGACGGCGTGCGCGGGGAGGGCGAATCCCCATTTGTAGAATCCCGGGGACAGTTCAAAGGGGATTAATGTGGACGCGACGTTTGTGACGACCCATGTGATCAGAGCCATGGGGACGTAGGGCGCGGGTATCCAGACAGCGACGACATCGAGCGTGAGGAAGTTGAGATGCGCGAAGAGCCACAGCGTTAACCAGGACAGAACCCATTGGTAGCCATTGACGTCCCAGCCGGCGCGGAACGCCCAGACGGCGCCAATGGCACACATAGAGCCGGCGAGGGTGTAGAGGCCGGAGATGGCGAAGCGGAAGAGGATCATGCGGAGGGGTTTGACGCGGCCGAAGAGTTTGAATTGGGCGTACAGGCCGTTGACCGTGCCGAGGAAGAAGAAGCCCTGGTTCATGAGGAGGATGATTACTAGGGTGTTGTAGATGAGGCGGGATCCCTGCGAGGTGGGCTGGATGTTGACCGAGACGAGCTCCCACGGGTTCGAGTAGGCGGATACAGCAGCGGGGCTGGATGTGTCGAGGGACTGCATGGCACCGGTACCGTTGAGCTGCACATAGGCGATTCGGGCGGCCTCCGACAGGGTTCGGACCTGCTGGTTAAGCGAGTCAATGGTAGTCGGGTATCGCGCTTGATTCCAGACCCAGGTGAGGACGTCGCTCGTATTGTAGGATGAGGCTGCGTCGGCATCGCTCAGGGCAGCGGCCAGGCGATCCGATGCACCAGGAGCAATGTAAAGGGCCCCCCAGTACTCAATGTCGCAGACGGACGAGCGCAGGTCTCCGGGCTGAGAAAACTGCGAGGACGACTTTTCGGTCAGGGTGAAGAAGGTGTCGGCGCGGAGTCCGTCGTACGCCTGGCGCACAGCTTCGCCAACCACGCCCCCGTCGTAGTCGACAAACGCAACATTCAAGTTGTGAAGGTGTCCTCCCAGCTGATACAACGAGCCGAGAATGTAGGAGAAAAGAACAAGAAAGAGCACGGTCAAGAAAATTCCAAAGACGGCCGCAGTCCGAAGCACAGCAAATCGCGACTTTCGCAGTCCCGGCTCTGAGATCTTGACGAGGCGCTCCTCGGCTTTTGGATAGAGGGGAATCATACTCGAGAACAAAGTGCTTACGGCTGAAAAAAGGGAACCAGGGGCTCCTCTGGATTTAATCCGGGTTGGGCCCTCGTACAGGGTCAGGTGACGTCGATTTATAAGCATCATCTCAGCATCAACAAGAATTATCGAGCAATTATCGAGCTATAAGAAACTCAAAATACTCCCGCAGCGCATACGCTGAGCGCTTGCATACCGAGTCCTTTGCGCACTGGCGTAGTCGACCTAAGTCACCCCTGCAGCGCAGCGCCCACTCCCAGTTGTCCAGGAAGCTCCACGCAAAGTACGATTTGATGACCACTCCTTCCTGGCACGCCTTGGCCACCTCCGCCAGATACGCTCGGAAGAACTCCGCTTGGAATGGATCCTCGACAATCTCTCCTGGCGCGGTAGGGGCTGGACCCTCGTGCTCCACCTTTACCGTCGTCCCGTTCGCGGTGATGCAAATCGCGACCCCGTACCGCGCCCAGATCCAGCGGAGCAGCTTCGCCCATCCTCACGGTGCCATCCGCTGCCAGTGTGTGTCCGTCTCGGGGCCCCGAGGCTTTCCATCGCTGTTCTCATTAAGGAACTCGACGTTCCCTCAATAATCGGATCGCTCTGGAGCGCCCTCGAGATGTGTTGCTTGCATTTCCACAGATAAACTGTGGATAACGAACTCTTGCTTGCCGCCAGTCCAAGAAAGTCCAGTCCCTTTCTCCAACTTGGTATGGCTATAGCCTGTCTTGGCAGGAATTCTCCGGGAAGAATCATAGAGCCGGAAGTGGTCCACCAGCTCACGGGAATGGCCTACCAGACAGAAGTGTGCGACCAGAGATATATACTTCGATTTCTCATGGACGTAAATCTGGCGTTTCAAAGTTCTCTCGCTGCCTCACGCAAGTCCAATTCCGGCCCAAGGTCACAGATCAAATGATAGCCATGGACTCGGAAAATGTAGCTGGTGGTGTAAGACTCGGGAGCCAGATCGTGCGCGACTAAACCAAAGCTATTAAATATGCTGTTTAGCTTGCTCACGAAGTCGACGTTCCTATCCTGATCTCTGGCCTCAGCACCGACTATGACTACGGGGCGTTGGATAGAACCGGCCTGCTGCTACCTGGTCGGGAGAGCGAGATGATATAAAAGGTTGTAGTGCGAATCCGAACACCGTGGTGATCATACAGGCAGGTATGCCTATCGACATTCCGTGGATCCACAGCGTCAACATACCAGTTAATGGCTGGTACGGGGGTGAAGAGACTGGCCGTGCGATCACTGATGTGCTGTGGGGAGCAGTCAATCCATCAGGCCCACTTTCGCAGTTTAGTTACTCGAATCTCAAGGTGCCGACGGTGTTTCCAAAGAATGGGCAGATGGACATCCCACTTGCCGTGACGAACGCTGGAAAGCAGTGGGGCTGCAGTGGTGCAACTATATATTTCAGATCGGGAATGCTCAGTTCAGCGACCACGCAAGGAGCTAAAGGCGTATAACAAAACGTGGCTAAACAAGGGTGAAACCAGGACGTGTCATATCCAGCGGACTACGTGGTCTCCAAAGACGATGCGGTCGGGGTACTTGGCGCGTCGCAGTGGGCAAGTACAAGATAGGTTACCAATTCGACCACCCCATCTCCGCAGCCCTGATTTGCTCCGTGTCGAGCTGATACCCTGGAATTTCCGGAATAGAACCGACTGCCCTTCTTAGCCAGTCTCCGAGGACCTTGTCGTTGCTGGCCCTCTCAGTCCGCGGACTGTCTTCCGAGATGCGGACGGACTGCGTGATGCTACCAGGGTGGTCGATGGCTTCCTCTTTTTCTTCATCGTTGGTTTCAATGTCTTCCTCGGGCACCTCGACTTCCTCTTCTCCGTCGGCCTCGAGATTTTCTTCTCCCTCTTGCCCATCCTCGTTGAAACCAGCATCCGAAGGATCGAGTGCTTCTTCATCCTCGGGCTCCTCCAGGAGAGGGCGAGCGTCATCTTCATCGTCGCTAACGTCCATATACTGGGCTGCAACCCGCTCGCGATCCTCAGCACTCGAACCCGCGAGATCAAACTTGACGCACGAGATGCGCTGCTCGCCGTCCCGCCAGTCCTCGTCGGCGCTGATAAGTAGGAACGCCTTGTACGGCTCCAGATCCGGGAATTCATGCTGCATGCCGGGGAGACGTCCCACAGGGGGCCGGAGCCGCGACAGATTTCGCAGGATCGGCTGGCCCCACCGGAGCTTGTCTTCTCGGCGCGTGTATCTGAATTCTAGCCGCCGGTACAACTTCAGGACCATCCCGATATCCAGGCGCGAGGTCCGTTCCGCAAGGTAGTGCGCCTTGCAGTCCGCTTCCCTCCCCGCTGGCATGAAATAGACATCCAGGCGGAAGGGGAAGTCGGAGCCCAGGTGGGAGTTATCGAAGATGTTGTAGAGGGCCACGAGTGCCTCGGCTTGCGACGGGCTTGGGCCTGCGTTTGGGTGGGTGAGGTAGAGCACAAAGGGAAATAGCGGTGGAAGCGTCGAGTACATGATTTGCGGTGGGTTTTGAAACACCATCAAAGCCGGGTTCCCGGCGTGGTCGGTAAATGGGACGGTGTGTGTTTGTTGAGAGAATTGCTGCCATCCCCTGCCATGGCCCCTGACGGGTTGTGGGAGGCGATCCAGAAACATCCTGCTGCGCCCCAAGCCATCTTTTCGCATGTCCCAGGTTTTGCGCCAGAGCATGGTACAGGCACCGCCGCGGTGGTAGTGACAATGTGTGTTGAAAGCTGGATCCAGACAAAGGCGGCCCCCAATGCGTAATTGAGTGTTGGCGGCTGTGCATGCCGCCCAGATGCCAGGGTATGGCTCTGGGCCAGCGCGCTCAAGCTCCTCTTGGTTACCGCTCTGCGCGGCTCTATGCTTCCAGTAGTAGAAGGTGCCCCGAGATCCCTCGGCGTCCCCGTCTTTCAGACCAAGCAGTTTTAGGGGGCGTCGTCGCTGCGCCATAAGAAAAGTGACCTCAGTCGCCACGAAGCTAGCCAAGGAGTCAGGAGCTTTTTTGTCAGCCCAGTCAAGATTAAGAACTAGAGTATCTATGCTCTCTGGTAGTGTCTCTGCTATGTGTTGTGATGACAACCACTCATTGGTCATGCCATATAGGACATACGTCTGGATGTCAAGGCGTTTTAATTGCGAAAACTCCTGCAAGGAGCCAAAGGGAGATGGGGGACGATCGTCCAGATGAGATGCAGTGTAATAAAGGTCAAGCTCCTCAAGAGTGTCCCGGTGATGTTGCAGAGCATTCCACAAGTCCGGAATCGAGAACTCGCTCTGGTCCCAGTTCAAGGACAAGCGAGTCAGCGACGGTACCAAAGAGAGAAGTGCTTGGATATCACAGCCTGTAGACGCGGATCCGGCGCTTATAACGAGCCGCAGTTCTTCAACTTGACATATCTTCCCTCTCTGATGTTGGTGTTCAAGAAGAGATGCGGCCCCCTCTGGATCTAGGTCATAAAGAGCGAGGGTGCGAAGACTCGGAAACCACAGACATGGCCAGAAATCACGCAGCTTCAAAGCTGGCCGAGACACTATGGGTGACCAAGGTGCGTCAGGCGCCGCGGGCTTGACCTCGCCCAGTAGATGAACGTGAGCCAGGTGGCGCAGACAAGGCAGCGGGCTCCCGTTCTCGTGGCAGCGCAGTATTTCCTTGAAGACATGGCCCATCAGATCAGTCTCTGGAAGATGCATATAAAGTACCAACAGATTTGGGAGACATATTAACAGCAATATAACCAGCGGCATGCAATCGCGATTGGCAAGTGCTTCGGGATTCAGGATCTTTGCCTCCAGCGCATCCACATTCGGGGTGCCATGCAGTGCTAAGCGGAGCCTTGTCCGCATGAGGTTTACATCCTCGTCTGAAAGTATGACAACATTATCCGCAGCGGCAGGGTCAGCCTTTAGAACGTCCGGATAGAACCCCCAGTTCCCCACATTAATCGCTCGCACGCTCTCAGCGAGACACGGGCGGGACAGAATCGTCCGTACAAAGCGCCACAGGTACTGGCGGGAATTCCGCGCACCATTATAAGACCATTGTGAGTATAGACGCGCCCTAATAATGTCATACCATGCGCGGCTGACCGTCATTAGCTGGCTGGATTGGTGAATGTCTGTTCCGACGTTGAAGCCGCGGCTGTGCTCGGCGTTATTGTATGCGCGGTCGCGGAGGGTGGTAGCAAGGATTTGCTCAAAGAGCTCCGGAGGCAGGTTGGCTGGATCAGGCATGGCGGATAGTGGAGATGATAAGAGGCAAGCGCGAAGGGAAAAGAGGGAGGAGCAGAGGGGATAAAGGAGAGACTCTGCAGTCTTGACCTCGGAAGTTCCGCGGGCTGAAGGATGGCCAAGCCTTGGCACAAGAACTGACCAATTATATTATATATTATCAAGTTCTGGACAGATGGAGGACAAGGATGTTGCTATGTTACATTCACAAGAGCACACCATACCCTCCCGTGGGCACTGGGCCTCCAACTAGTACATGTGCACTCTCATCACAGGAAAACATTTACCAGCTCGCCCCTGTACTGCCAGTATCATGGCAATTATTTAAATAGTACTTTTCCTTCTGGGACACCGGGTCTTCCTCGAGTGCTGTTAGCCTTCTCACCATACGGAGCAGCTAGACCTGGCACCGGTTCTAACCCAGGGGGGGTAACCTGACGAGGGCCCATCGGGGTTGGGGCTCGGCCTAAAAAGGTTTAGCGGCCGGGAAAAACACGCGCTAAGTTCACCCATTCGGGTTAGAAAGGTCACCCATCCGTATCCCCTACAAGGGTCGCTCGGCTTTGAAAAGTGGCTTACGTGAAAGGGCAGGCACTTATCTTTATAGCGCTAAAAAAGTAGAAGTTACGCGGACGTAAAATAGTGGCATGGCATAGGTATAAAGGTAGCAGGTTTTATTGGGGTAGGCTGGCCCGCTACCGCGAACGGGAACGGGAATGGGAAGCGGGAACGGGATAAATAGGATGAGGAGGAGGTAGAGCGCGAGATTTAGATATAGCATAGTTAATAGTCCAAGCTGCCATGGAAACCATGAATGTTTAGATAAATAATTCATGAATTTTTCCGTGGTATAGTAGGCCATTAAGCCCATACCTATTACCCATAAGTTTATATCATATCCCATATGCCGCATGAACTCCACCACGCATGACATTCAATTTTAGTTGTTTATACCATGGAGAACCAGTTATTCGAAAAGGTCCCCAGCTTGCAGATTATTATTTGCCGCCCATGCAAGCATGCCGTACGGCCCGCGGACGTCCAGCAGCATTTAAAGCGCCAGCATGGGTATAATTACCAGGCAGCCAGCCAGGTGGCCGACATGGTACACCAGTGGGAGGAGATGCAGCAGGATAGCCAGGCTAACCCAGGGGGGGTAGGCCGACGAGCCCTCGTCGGGGTTGGGGTTCGGCTGGTGGGTGGAGCCCATGGAGCTGGTGCGCCGCGCTGATTGGTTCAGGCGAACCAGGGAGGCACCCTCATTCAGGTTGAATGTACATCCCATCTGTATGCGCAAACGGCGCCGGCGCAGGCTTTGGAGGGTGCCAGGTGATAGAGGGAGGAGTTATTAATTAGGGTTTTAAGTAATAGAGTATTAGAC